CGGTGTAGTGATCTCTCCAGAGTTGCGGATAATCGCCCGTCAACAAAGATGCGGCACCGCCCAAGATGTTCCAGCGACGAACCCTTGGTCACGTGATGTACCGTGACTCCAAGGTGCAAGAGATTCGACGGTGTCACTACCGAACTTTCAACGAATATTGCATACGGTCCAGATGACAGTCAATCCAGGCTGTCCTATTATTTATAGTGGACTGGTCGGATTCGCATTCAGCGGCCAAGAACTGACCATCTACGGTACGAACCCTCGGTGGCGGTTGGGATGAGTTCGCGGAATACTCCGCGACCCATTGAAGGCAAGCTCATCGTCTGGGACAGGGGCTGTTAAATATGCTCATGCGACGATGCAGACGACGCTTGGCGTTCAAGAAGATCCATAACGGACCATCGTTCACTTGATATTTGTATACTTGATTACGACTTCTTATTAGGAATAGACCCGAAAGGGTAAACATAAATACAGAACAGCTTGTTTGAGTGTGTTATGCCTGTCGGTGAACTCGAAGCTCTGTAGCAAGGGTTCATCCGGCAAGGCCAAGAGACTGTGTGTTTTGGCCGATTACTACCGTGAGGTTTTACGTGACGGCTTATTGTTGCCTATTTGCACGACTGGGATTGCTTGTGTTGCATCCCTTTTATTCTTCCAAACGAGTGTTGAACACTCGGTGCCCTCGTAAAAGGCTTACCCGTGCCTGGTACCCTTCCGCTGTTGGGACCACGAGGATTCATAACACCTATTAGCTTTGATCGTGCTAGTAGCGTGCTCTTAGTTTTACTGGCTGGCCTATATAAGTTGTTTACAAGGTCCAGTCTGTCCCGGTGTAAGGGTAGAACCGGGGTCTTCAGGTCCGCCCGAACTATCGTTTGCTATCCTAGCAGACGTATTGTTATGGGAACGTCCTAACTACATTTGTAGCTAGAGTCCACGTGGGAAGTCCAACACCACAGTTGGGTGAAACCCTGACGATGGACTTCACTCACGGAACGAACGTTCTTGGCTATCATTGGGGTACGCGTAGCAAAGAAACCTTATTTTCTTATAGCAGCCTTTCGCGCAGCCTTAATTTTTATAACAACCTTGAATATCATTTGGTTATTACTGTTACCTATGGTTGTCACTACGTGTACGGGTAGAGGCTTCCCAGTGGTTGGCTTCATTTGCCTCGATGAGTACTCTGTCACGGTTAGCACGATCTTGGAATATTTCGAGAGCTAAAATCCAAAGTGGAAAGACGTCAAGAGTGTGGTGATCGACAAAGATTTTGTCGAGTGGTATGTTCTAGAGGAGTGCTTTCCGAACGCCCAGGTGCTACTCTGTTAATTTCACGCCATTATATACTGGAAAAAGTGATGAAACGCAAAGTAGAGCTCAAGGTGGCACAGAAAGAATACCTTATCGAGTTGCTGACGAAGATGCTGTATTGGTGCGTTACAGAGCGCGAATTGCTCTATTGTCTTTTCACTAAATTGGTGATGTCACTGGCATCCGTACGCAAGAAACTTATGTATCTGGATATGGTACAAAGAAAAATATTGCAAAAAGTTAAGGAGGACCAATTGCTTCGCATATTTTGAGAAAAACTGGCATTCGTGTCGACAAATGTGGTCAAACTATGAGCGTGAAAAACACTTTACTGCTGGTTATACGACAGCTAACAGGATCGAGTGTAACTGGAAATACTTTAATCTGCTTCTTGGTCTCAAGACCAGAGTTGACAAGACGTTGCTGAGTTTACTCCAACATCAGATGATCTTCACGCGGCAAATTACATCTGAAATCGGAAAACAATATTCTTCCTTTTGATTGCCCAAGACGGCTTCTTTTTTTAGGGCCATATCCAGGAGGCTCTCTCCGTTTGTGTTGCATCTGGTTAAAAGAAAATGGGAAAAATTTGTGCACCGAGCTGAAAGCACAAACTGTGAGCGCAAAGTATCCGTTTCGAAATGGAACATTTATGGTGCTCATCACATATACGAATGTGACGACGTTAAGTGGACCTGTACCTGCTTATTTTATACGAGCCACCATTTACCGTGCTGTCATCTGATGCATGTTGCCAGCCATGACCATGGTTTCAATGTACTACCTGTAATCTCTGTCCACGCACGATGGAGTACTTTCGAAGCCTTGGACGCTAAAGAAAAGCTATGTTTAGCAGCCGATGCACTGCAGCCAATTGTGAATATGTCAAATTTAAGGTTGCCGAACGTGTACGAAGATTCACGTACTTTCGAGTGGAAACAATCACATACGCCGTCCGCTAATGATAAAGAGGTTGTATTTGCTCAATTGCGCCGGGACAAACGTGCAAACCAAGTTGTGCTGACATTTGGTGTTATGTACTCTTACGCAAAGGCGATGCTAGAGCCACTGCTCCAGCATCTGTCCGAATCGGCCAGTGCTGATTTTATCGAGAGCTTCAAGCTTGGAAAGAAACCGTTGAAGTGGGATTGCGACGGAGGAAAGTGGGTTCGACTTCGTGTAGAGACAGCGACCACGATGAAGACGATGAGGAAGACATGGATTCTGTATATGATTTTGAAAAACGCAGTGGTCATCGCTAGTATTATGGAGGTGTTACGAAATATGGATACCAACACTGACGGTAGCAGCGACTGTGAGGACGTCCCGTCAACGCAATAAGCAGTAGAAGTGTCACAGAAGCCCATAATTGTGAGCAAGGTACAATCGGCGGTGATATCCATCACAGACGAAGCGGATCCTGAAAATGCAGCTAATTACAAGAAAGTTGAAAATTGTGAGGTTGATGAAGCCGCTGTACGTGTGGCTACAATGCCTACGCGGCAAGTGGGTATCCTAACCGTCCCAAAGCCGAAGACCCGAAGGAGGCAACATACAAATCCGAAGCAGCTAAGACAGACAAAGCTTACCTCACCCCATACTCGTATCGGTGCACAAATACCCTAGCGATCTCACCGTACCGTTTGACGAGTTCGTCGTGTGGGCACGCAACACAGAGAATGTAAGAGCTGTGGCGGGCATGATAGACACATATCCTGTCCAATTAGATGACGCCTACCTCAGGGCTCACAATCGAATGCAGCTGGGAAGCTGTTCGACCAACAACGTGCATGCACCCATTTGTAATCCCTGGAGACATCACGCGGTCGATGCAAGCCTTAATCAAGACAGCTAAGTCCGAGCAACATCACCCAGATGCACTCGACGACCGCATCAAGAAAAAGGAATCGTGCTCGATCTCGTGGCTTCTATCGTCCACAAACTTTGGAAAAAGGTTGCCATTCACGAATAGTTGCTTTTTATGGTCATCATACTGGGGTTGCTATAACTAAGATTTGTACTAGACAGTACGTGGGGGTTGCAACTACGTTCTACATGGTTAAGACCAAGGTACAAGCATGGCTCGGTGACAGGAAATGGTTGGAGGAAAACTGGCGGAAGGTAAACTCCGATGTGAATCTATTTGCTGTGGATACAGAAACGATAGGGATATCAGCTGATGCTGTAAAGGAGCGACACTACACCGTGGCAAACGAGGTGATTTCAAAAATTGCATCCAGTCACCTAAGTTCTGAATACACGGCACAGTCGGGTAAGGCCTGCATCGCCTTTGAAAACGTTCTGGGTGGACTTTGTAGAGGATGGCTGAATGACAGCCCAATTGACTTCTGTTTGGAATCATTGGAAGCACGGTGAAGGATTGCTACGTCCTGTCATCATTGATGGAAGCTGTCGGATGGTCGAAGACACCAACCAAGCCTATCCCTTCTACCAAGTTTATGATTAACCTGAGCCAAATCCAATGGGGTATCAGAATAACTACGCTACGCTACGTTGAATCCAAGGACACATTACATGTGCATCCCTACCTGTACGAACCTCTGATTGACGAAGGTTATAATGGGGACATGGAGGTGGTTAGGAACGGTGCTAAGGGCGACGAGGGTAACTCAGCTATGGAAAGGCGTAGTGGTTTTGTGGGGAGATAGAGTAAGGCATCGGCACCTGTGGCCAAAGTATGCATAGACCCTATTGAGTGGATTGAAGTTCCACAGCAACCCGAATATTCAAGCTGTGGTGTATTTGTTGTGGCTCAGACTTACAGCTATGTGAGCGCGAATATTTGCTGGCAATACAGAAACGTTTCCAAGAGTAATGTGGAAGTTATGCGCCCCCCCAATGGTGTGGATAATGCTCTGTAAATCGAGCAAGAGCCCTATGGCTCGTCCCACTGCGGAGAAGACGAAATCTATTCATACGAAACTGCTCAAGCAACTGAAGTAGGTAGCTGTAGCTGTCTTATCCGCTAATACAAAAACGCTAGCATACTACCCATTTAATCTGTTGATTGCCGTTTCTAGCAAAGCTCCGAAAGATAGGTGGCCGTCATGAATCACACCAGCGTTGGCAATCTCAGACCCCAGCACGTAGATGCTCTCCTCAATGCGTGACAGTAACTCCATCTGAGTTATTAGTATCTTCTCGAGGCTCGCGCCGATCTTTTCAAGCGTGTTCTATATGTCCATGAGCTTGTAGATGCGCGCGCACCAGCTCCCGAGCGAGCGGCCTTCCGTCCATCCTTGCTGCGATGTTGGATCTTTGAAATATTTGCAAGGTGTGAAAAAATGTGTCCCACACGGTGTAGTATTAGAAACACACCCATGTGTGGTGCACACGCGCTTAATGCTGTTTCAATAACTCTAGATTTAGGATGTTGTCGCTGCTATTGATGACGGTGACGACGTGACCACGTCATTTATTAAAAGCTACAGTGGTTTTTGGTGTTGGGTTAATGACGTCACAATTTAGTTCTAATTTTGTAAAAGAAGCTCTTCCAAATAGAAAGTGTTTGCAGCGAATGTGTTTTAGAAATCTCAAGCCGATACAAACAGCAAGCTCACTTTAAATAACAACCCAAGTTCCTTACAAAAAAAATGGGTGGGTGGAGCTCGGGAAAAAGCCTTTGCCCCGAAAAACTTTATTCCGGTTGTCGAACCCTGATGGAGAAGTATAGTCGGTGGTCGGATCTGACGACAGGCATCAACCCGTTCGTGCCGCAGCGTCGGCGCTTCACGTCCGGATGGCCCGTGACCATCTTGCAGGTCATATCTGGCTCCGCTTTGGCGCTCGTACGCTTCCCGTTGGTGCTAGTAGCCTTCGTCGCGCTATTTCTAGTCAACCTAGTGGTGTCCATTCTCGCCGTAATCCCGTTCCTAGGACGTCTGCTTAAGCGCATCACAGAATGGTTGCTGTGCTCACTCCTCCTCCTGCTTTTCGGTGTGTTCACGTCGGAAGAGAGCGCTAACACACGTCGTCTGGGGCTCGCTACAGCTAAAGCGAGGAGCTCGAACGGCTCAACTCGCGTTGGATCTGGCGACGTGCTGGTTTGCAACTACACGAGCTTTTTGGAGATATTATACCTGGCCACGCGCTTCTCACCAGTTTTTGTATTTGCTACAGAGACCAAGAGTAACGACGAAGGATTGGTACACGTATGTGGCCTACTCGAGGCGCTGTACAGGTCGTTGGCAATGCCTGTGAGTGTTGAACGTGTCAAACCCACAAGGAAGATCGCAGACGTAGTGCGTCGAGCTGCTGGGCCAGTAGTCGTGCTTCCCGAGGGGGCTAGAAGCAATGGTAAGGCTGTGCTGAAGTTCATCCCCGTGCTACAGAACCTGCCGGTCAAGACCCGCGTACACCTCGTGGCCTTCCGCTACGAGTTCAAGCGCTTCAGTCCGAGTCAAAGTGCCGGTGGTGCCTGGTCTCACCTCTTCTGGACTGCCTTCCACGTGTACCACACCATGCGTGTGACGGTATTGAGTGCTAAAGACTTGAATCTAGACGACTTAACGCCGACTAAACTACCGAGTAACAAGAGCAGTAAGAAGCAGGAGAACTCCAAGACACTGTCGACTGATCAGGTCGAGAAACTACGCACACTTCTAGCCGCTATGTTACGCACCAAGACCGTTGACTTGGGACCAGAGGACTCTGTGTCTTTCAATAATTACTGGAAGCACGTCAACAGCGGAGGACGTCAACCAGCGTCCCAATTCACGGACCGCAAGGCTCCTCATGAACACGCCCAATGGGCCAAGAGATAGATCAACGAGACACACACTGGACAAACTGCGTGTTGTCTAATGAATAGAACGTTCTATCGACTTTCTTCTCCCTATGCTAGCTTCATGAGAAGCTCGTAGACACCAATACCCAGCTCCACGGAGATGAGGATGATAATGTACCACTCGAGTCGCTCGCCTTTGTGGGAGTCCAATACTTCCAAGAAGAACTACAATACACAACCGTCAGCTTTACTCAATACCTTCACAAAATACTCACAAACTCACCTTGGTGTTGTGTTGGATCAATTCCAGCTTGAAATTGAGGTTTTGAAAGCGCTCGTTGAGCTCGAATTCTTCGAGTAGCGACTCCCACATGTTGTGGTATCGGGTTTGACTCCAGGCCGGATCACCTGGTCTCTTACGGTCGATCACACGTAGCTTACTCACCAAATCGATGAGTAGTGTGTTATTAGACGCAACGATCTTGAACAAACGCTTTGTTTGCTCATTCTCGCGGCCAAATAATGCACCGCGAGGTCCTTTCTTCTCCACGTCAGTGTTGAGCTTCTCAAACTCGCTCAAAATGGTCTCACACTGACGCTCATAGAACTCTAGAGCCACTGTCTGCGAGAGCACACCAGCAATCACGTGGACGTTGATATGATCGATCTCTCGTACCAGCACGTTATTTTCCACCAGTGTACTCCACTTCTGCTGAGCCGGGTCGCCAACTAACAGCATCTCCTCCTCGTGTCCACGCATCTCAAAGACGTCGGTGCAGAAGCGGGTAGCGTGTTTAATCAGCGTGTTCACTAATGCTTGGTCGCAGTTAAAGAACACCACCGCACCGTAGTCAAAATACACGACCCATTTATCTGTTGCTCGTCGCGAGGTGACGGTCTTGCCTCCGCTTCCGACACTCAGTGTTTGGACTGTATCTCCATTGTTATTGCTGCTAGAGCTCGGTATTGTGGGAGGTGCTACACCCGTGACGAGTCCTGCGTGGCCGTTGTTTTTACTGCCACTGAGTCTCAACACGATCGAGTCTTTGTGCAGGTAGTGGGTGACCTTGAATCGGTCTGTGTAGAGCTTCTGGAAGAGGCTGGCAATGTCCATCTTACGTGCAGCATGGACAGCTCGAATCGGCATGTGCTGGATCCTTTTCGCCATCTGTCGACTCTGGGCTTTCGCTTCCGCAGCTGCAATGGTCGCGTCCACCTCGTCCGCAGTCGGTAGTGGTGGGAGGTCCAGCTTGTCCAAAGTTGCGAAAGTTTTACGCTGTATATTATGGTTGTGAAGCGACAACAGACAGGATCCCGATGAAGCAGACGTATGTTGTGACGATATTGCCGAGCTCATTGAGCCTCCTCGAGCGCCACAGCGCGCTCCCATGCGCCGCAACAAGAGCATCTCGGCCGAATCCGCAGCTGTGGCTGAGCTTAGCTCGAAAAAATGAATTGATGGTGTACACCACACAATATCTCACATTAGCCAATCAGAACACAGTTTCTATTTCACACGTCATTCCCAAAAAGTTCATCACTCAAAGTGTAGCCATGTCGGAATTCCCAGAGGAGCCTGTGCCGCTCATCACGTTCAGCGAGGACGAGGACCAACTTAAGGTGAATGATGAGGCTGTAGAGCTTCTTCGTCGTATCGATGGCCATGTGGCTGTGGTGGCCATGGCCGGCCTCTACCGCACAGGCAAGAGCTCCATGCTCAACTGGCTGCTAGACAGGCAGAGCGGCTTTCGTGTGGGCCCCACTATCGAACGCTGCACTCGCGGCATCTGGCTATGGGGCCAACCACAGCGCCACACGATGGCGAATGGAGAACACGTGTGGGTGCTCATGCTGGACACGGAGGGAATGGGCGGTCTCGAGGCGTCGCAGCAGTATGACGCACGCATCTTCTCACTAGCCACTCTCCTCTGTTCCAAGCTCATCTATAACAGCCAAGGCAGTGTGGATGAAAAAGCCATTACTGGACTCAGCTTCATTGCCAACCTGGCCAAACACATTAAAGTCAGCGCGTCAGGTGAAGGAGAAGACGAAGATGTGATGCAGTTCCACAGCTTCTTCCCGTCCTTCCTCTGGGTCGTTCGAGACTTCACGCTAGAGTTAGTAGACGAGGATGGAGACCCCATCTCCAGCAGTGACTATCTCGAACGCGCATTAGCCGATCAGCCACGTACCCCTGCCAATATGGAACGTAACCGTATCCGCGCAATGATGAAGGACTTCTTCCGTGACCGCGACTGCGTCACTCTGGTGCGCCCGGTACACGACGAAGCCAAATTGCAGCAAGTAGACGCAATGTCCATTGAAGAGCTCCGTCCAGAGTTCCAAGAACAACTCAGCCATGTTAAACAGATCGTGTACGGCGACAGTCTACAGCCCAAGATGCTGCAAGGCAAGCCGCTTAATGGCAGTATGTTCGCTGGTTTACTCCAAGCGTACGTAGCTGCTATCAACAGTGGCGGTGTACCAGTCATCACGTCTGCATGGGAAGGAGTGACTGCCAGTGAGTGTCGAAAGGCGATGAGTACTGCCGCTGAGACCTTCAAGAAGAGTCTGGCAGCCTTGGACTTGCCACTGGACGATGAAGATCTCGTTGAAGGCATTAAAGACGCCGAGGCACAAGCAATCGCGCAGTACCGTGCTGCTGCAATTGGCGACAGTGCAGCCAAACTCGAAGCTGACCTACGTAAGCGCATGGAAGACGATAAAGCAGTCTGTGCACGTACTAACGCAGCACAGAGCAAGGAGATGTGCGACCGCTTGTTGCAAGTGTTGTATGCTGAGCAGATCCAGCCCAAATTGGCCTCTGCTAGCGACGAATTCGGTGGATTCGCCGACATGCAGCAGTTCTCACGTGAGTGGCAAGCGTTCCGTGACGCCTACTTGAAGAAAGCTCGCGGTGGAGCCAAACTCGAGTGTCTGTTGACATTCTCCGAGGCGAAATACGCCGAAGCGATGAGGATTCTATTGAGTCGACAGGAAGAGGGATACGAAAAGGAGATCCGGACGCTGCAAGGCGACGTGTCCAAAGTGAAGGAGGAACTGGGCAGTGTAGGAGGCCGCGAACAGATCTACAAGGAGCAGATCGAGCAGATGCAAGTGCAGTCGTCTCAGATCATGTCGGAGAAGGCGCGTTTCGAGGCCGAAGCTGAAGCGCAACGTGAACGGATCGCTAACTTGGAGAGTATGTTGCAGGACGAGGCTACTACCAAGCAACATGTGGAGATCGAGCGGGAATCTGCGGGGCTGAAGCTCTCGAGTGAGTCCAAGAAGCGCGAAGAAGTCGACAGTGAACTGGCACGCATGAAGTCCGAGTACGAACGTGTGGTGCAGGAGAAAGAACGACAGGAGATGGAGCTCAACTTGTTGAGTGAGGAGTGTCAGCAGCTCCGGAAGGGCCAGACTTGCGGCTGTACTATCTCCTAAGTCGTTGCAACACTGCTCGACGTGATGCATTCGCTCTAGATAACACAACAACGTCCAGTTTGTCATCTAAAACACGCCGTGTCATTGCCTTATGAAGTAAAAAAAAAGTCTGGTCCTGTGTTACTCTATTGCGGTTGACGGTTGGGTGCCAAAGGCGACACGTAAGCCTTGAGCTGTATACAGAAGGATGGTTAGTGTTTCTTTACGTGGATTGTACGACGTAGACACGTAGAGACGCACCTTGAAGTCCGTGAGGTCGGGCACCTCGAGCTGCAGCAGCTTGTCTTGGTCCACGACGTAGCGGCCGCGCTTGGCGTGCTTACCCTCGTTGCGGCAGCCGTTTCCCTTGTAGAAGCGGCGGTTAGCACGCTTGCTCGTGAGAGGGCGCAGCGAGTGCGAGCGTCCGAACTTGCTCTTACGCGCGAAGCCCGTGATCAGTCCGTCTAGCAGGCCCATACCTCCTCGATGCTTCGTTTGATGTGAGGCTGCCAGTAAAATGGACCGAGAGTATTGTGTGTCTAACACAAGTATATGTTTGAAACATAAACTCATTGGTTCAAGTGTGGTGCACATAGTTGGCAAAGAATCTCACCAAGAAACGCGCCTCCGATCGATGCTATCCTTGAGCTTCTGTGTAATCGGGGCCTGGGAGCGCCTGCTTCGTGTGTCAATACCTCCACTCGCACAAGTGGACTACCTGATTGCACTGATGGACCATGCTTCTAGCGCGTTGCGGGGGATCCCGCCAAACCATCTACAGGTGTATCTTGCACGGCAGAATGGAGACTGGCTTGTCGCTGACTCTGACGTGGTTAAGGAGCTGATGCTTGGCAACGGTGCCGATGCCGTGTGCGGGGACGCCCTTTCTCCGAGCGACTGACTCGACCAATACTTTACAGCTAGCTCGTTAGGCCAAGCCAAAAGTGTACACATACTTGTGCGAGTGAGAGACCCGCCACCAGTTCTTGGAAAACACCCTCGCGATGTGCTCGAGACGAAAATCCCAAAAGAAGAAATCCTGGAAGTGAAATGCGCTGTTCTGGGGGGGTTGCACTACACTGTACACTCGCTTCTAATTAAGAAGACGCTTTGTGTTGTGGATCTGCTGTACTTGCTAAAATCGCGGCTTTATGAGGCTGACGTGTCCATTCGTGCGAGTGCAATCACTCTCTACTTGGCACGAGATAGCACAGGAGAGTGGCTGTCTACGAAGCATTTCGATGGCAAGCTAGCAAGTTTCACCAGTCCTCAGTCATGGTTTGAAGTAAAGCTAGACCCAGAACAAACGATCGGAAATGTCCTTCAGTCACCCCAGCCAGGAAAGATCAACGTACTGCTACAGCCACCTCTGAGTTTTACTCTGCAGACGATGCATAGCCAGCTGTTCACTAAGTCATATCGGTTTACCGCTGAGGGCTTGAAGGATGCAGCTGAAGTGGACGCTTTGGTCGACACGATCCACGAATTCCAGCGTTTAGAGCAGCATTCGACGCCATTTATTGTACTGGAGAGCTCGATGGAAATGGGGAAGACGCAAATGGCGTTTAACTTGATGGCTCGAGATGATGTAGACGTATTTTACATTGTTTGTGAAGAAGAAAAAGACGACGTTGGGACCGCGTTTTTCCAGATTTCCCAGTCTTTCATGCGCTGTGTGGAAATTGACCTCCCTTTCGTTGGTGACGGTAAGGTGTCGGAGATATCACAGCAGAACGAGCTGTATACCTACTCGTTCATCTATGCTGTACTGGGAGGAGTGCCGGCGCTTTCAGGCACTCGAACACGCGATGAAGTTTTTCAGGCGAAACGCGAATATGTGGGATGTCCCGTATTTTTCCTGGATGAATTTCCACATCTTATTGAAGGATTATCGATCAACAAACGAAAAAAAAACATACGACGATGCCGCTTTGTTCGAAATATCTTTCGCTCCTTTGGATTGACTGTTATCGTTAGCGCGACAAACGGAGCCGCAGCGAATGTTCTAAATCTGACGGATCCAAGCGAACCCAAGGAACTGTCGTGTGTCATATTCCCGACGCTTCCTCGATTTAAATCTAGTGACCCGATGGTTCTGAGTAGGCTACCACACATTTTGGCAAAGATTATTAATCGCAGCAGACCGTTATTGGCGAAACAGGCCTTGGAATATATTGGTGCTAACAAGGTTGACGAAAACACCCACTTGGACACGTATATGGATTTAATGATGAAGACACTGAGTGCCAAATGGGATAAACATCGAGCAGCAGATTATTTTTTCCATGTGGGTCAAGTACGTCTCTTTTATGGCTCTAGCTATCGTCCGAGATCAGATCTGGCAGGTCAGGTCCGTAGTCATTTCAGCCGACCCGCAGTAACGACGCCAAGTCGACTGAGGCTTGACTCGTCTGGTGTATTGGTAGACGGTCAAAATGATCCTTGGACGTGTAGTATAGTAGTTCCTAACCTGGACGACGATCCGCTTTTACACTTTATCTTCATGGGTGGCGCAGATTTTCACGCTTTTGCCGACGCTTTTGGGTCGCCAATTCCATTTTGCCAGGCTGTTCTGCGGGGTCCGGGATTTGCGAGTAGTGGTGAAAGTTGGTCCGAGAGCTTGGAGGAATTCGTGGCTGGGGGGATTGTTGCTGCCAGTCGACACAATGGTTTCGCCGGGTTGAAAAACTCGGACTTCGAAAGATTTTTATCTGCTGTAATGTATGAGCTTGGACTGAAAGCAGAACGCCACATTCGTCATCAATTTCCAGAGGTTTTGGAGCAAGCGTTATCGCAATTATCCCTGTCTGTGCCTACTTTGTTGCCGTTGGATATGGAGCTCCCGCAGCTTCTTAGGACATCGCAACTTAAGTTTGGGACACTGAAGCGAGTTCAGACGGAAAATCCAGGTTTTGGTTTTATTGACGGCAAGGTTTTCGTTGAGTGCGCATCGAATCGAGATGAAGATGAGGAGTTTGTGAAGACTGTTGGACACGCTCCACCAGACAGCATCGTTCATATTATAATTGTAAGCTCGCTGGAGCGAAGCTACTTCGAAGACGGAAGCAGCGACGACGTTGATGCCTTAGCGAGCGAGATATCGGCTTTGTCGTATGCAACTTCTAGTCTGGTCATCTTTATTGGAAGCACTCAAGACATAAAGGTCGTTCATGCATATGGGGATGGAATTGAGACGAAGAACCCTCTTTCCAAGTATCGCACTCCGAGCGATCCGAAAGCAACCAAAGTGATCATATTTCTTGAGCTACCTTCATAACTTTTAATTTTAAAAATTAACATGGGATTTTCAAATATCATTTTAGAAATCGCTTCTAACGTTAATGATTCTTTGACGGAAATCACAAAAAGGTCAGACACGTGATTTTTGCATTACATTTGATAGGTTGATGAGATTTTGCTTGATAGGTTGGTGACATTCGGGAAAGCTCTCGATCGACCGAGAAGCCGAGCGCTGTGCTCAGGGCGGACTTCCGGGCGAGGGTGGCAGATAATGAAACAAAGGTGGAAGGCGCGGTCATCATCCCTCCAAGCAGGTATGCTCTAACTCACACCGAGCTTAATGTCACTGAAGACAATTTTGCACTGCGCAGTAGAGCTGTGGGTGCACCACCTAGGGAGCGGGAAGGAGGCTATGCTGCTTATGCTGCTTATGCTGATTAGAATGGCGAAGGCATGAGGTCGTGAGCTGTGACAATGACGTGTGTCTGTAAAGCCTGACTGGCAAAGGCGACGAGGCGGTGGTATGCTGACACAGCGATGTGAGTGTCATATGCCGCGAAGGTAGTTTGTACACCTGCTCGCCACCGATGACTGAATGGCTTGTGGTTTTCGTCTTTAACTAGTCTCGCTAACTAGCTGTTGTGTTGGTTTTCTTTCTCACGAGCTTTCCTACCGTTGCCCAACCTAGCTGCCCGCGGCGTCGTTTCCGGGAGTTCTCGGTCGTCGCATCGACCGCAACGCTGCCAGCACAGTCGGCGAACACTTTTATCGCGTCATCAATAGATGGGGAGGCTCGGAGTAGGTTTTTAGATGCTGCATCGTTTTCGATCTTGAGCATGAGATAACGTAGCTGACTAAGCCGTTTTTGCATTTTTCTACTAGGCATATCTCGGCCATCAAGAACACGAAGTGGTGGCACCTTCTTGGCCTTATTTCCGCACATCCAAAGCACCCATATATGACGTACGGAGCAGTCGGGAATAATAAAATCAGCAGGAACACGGCGAAACTTTCCACCCCAAAAGAAACACGGCTGCTGCTCATTGCCGTCGATTACGACTTCGGTTTCAGTTGTGCCCTGCGATTGAGAACCAGTCAACTGGCGTACCAAGCTGTCCATACCCGCATCCTGGAGGCACGTTTTGATTGCAGCGTGAAGACCGTCATACGTCACGGTGCCCGCACCAATAGCTCTCTTTTCCAGCTCGGAAATAATATCGCGGACCGCGTCGACTCGGGTTGCTTCGATTTTGGTCAGTGAGTCAACTAATGCATCCTTCAGCCACTTCATTTCACAGAGTATCGATACTTGAGGAGGAACACCGGTGGGGCGTATGCGTGATTCGGTACAACCATCCCCTGTTCTAACTCGTGAAAATAGATTCGAAAGTCGGCGCTCGTCCTGGAAAATTGGGGTCTCAAAGATGTGGTGCTTCGGCGATAGTGTTGCCTTCAGAAAGGCTGAATGATAAACTAGAGAAGCCAAACAATACTCTGCAATAATGATGAGGCGGTTTGGCAAACCTGGAAACATCAATCGCACACCATTTTAACACAATCGTCACGTGTTTCAAAGTGCGGCGCTAAAGCTGAAAATCGGTAGCTCTCGGTAGGCAAACCAGCTACATTTCGACCAACATGCATGTCACCAGCAGCCTCGTATCTCAAATAAGTATTCTGTACCCCACCAAGTGACCAACCAGCACGCAAATGAACTGCCGTCGACGATGGGCATGCTGTTGAGCCCGACGAGCAGAATGTTGCTGCGCCCTTCCGCATTGAGTGAGTACCTAGCTCGGCGGAATCCAGACCCTGGCGCTGTAATTCGGCTGACACATCGTCTTGATCTAATAACCGGATCCAGCACTTGCGGAATCTCTCGTACTGGTTGTTTCCGGGGAAAAGGAGATCACTCTCGTCAAAATTCGTAGCTGCCCAATCGAGTCCGAGAGCAACAATAGGGCAGATACCTGGCTGCAGTGGGTTGGCATGTACATGTCGGGGATCACGAGGGCGATTGCCACCTTGATCGTTCTTCATATGAGCGAAGTAAATCTGTAGAGCATCGCCCCTCCACTTCATGTGTGAATGACGAATGCCAAATGCATTAGACGAACGGCACATCAAATTCCAGGCGATCACCATGTACGCATGAGCAAAAATCATCTCCTTATTTTCGTGAGCCAGCATCTTATCGCATAAAAAAGAATAAAGGTCGAGCATTAGCGGGCCCTTCCCCGTCTTGATTGCGCTCTCCCCGCTACCAGCATCCTTTGCAAGCTTGTGCTTGAGCCCCTTGAAGTAGTTCGTAAGCTCCGACTCTAATGGCTTGCTCATAGTGTACCCGTAGTCGCGAAAGAGGTTGAATAGACTGGCTCTGTGGGTATTAAGAGCAGAGTAGCTCAGTACTCCACCATCCTTTCGCTCAAGTGTCACGAGCCAGGTGACGAAGTCTTTTGCTGTGAGAGCTGCAAATTCAAGCGGCATGAGGTGCCGATCGATGTCGAAGAAGATGAACTAGGTGCTGAAGCTGTTTGAAGCACTTGCGCATGTTTAACTTCACATAGTTGTTACTCACGGCACTTTGTGCGTTTTCTGGCTTCCATCGCTCGGGTCTTTTCAATGACAACTCTTTCAGCTTCCGGAAAAATTGTGCTCGGGGATGTCAAAAATTTTAACTCAAAATCTTCTTGTTGTTCAGGGAAAGTCCACCATCTGTCCTCCTTGGACGTAAATTCGGACCCTTCTTTGCAGCTGGCAAATCTTCACCGCACGTGTCCGGTACAACGTCCAGAGACGTGCCTCCTGTTCGTCCTGCGTCCGATTTGCATCGGACAGTCTTGAAGAGAGCGAGCCTGGTCTTGCGATAATAACGAGACGACCAACTTCGTTCTCTCTCTCGACACCTTTGCTCTAAGTGACAGCTTTCGACTGGCGCGACCACGGCATTCGGTCCTCATTGGCAGTCAAACGCCAACATCACTTGTGCACCCGCGTCTTCTTGTGCACGCAGAGCAACGCAAAGCATGCCATCCACACGCAGAGCTCGATGCACTTTTGCATGGTCACACACGGGGCTGAAGTTGGCTTCTTCTGTGTGAATAACCGACAGCATCTCCCTCATGTGTGTGATGGTCAGACGCAGTGTTCGGGACGCCAAGCTCTCCGCGTCGCTCCACTTTGTGCCCACGCAGCGTAGAGCAGCATTCCCTCATAGCGTCCTACTCACCAGACCTGGCCAGCAGCGGCAACGGTAATGCTGCGTGCACGACCACGTCCAGTGTGTGTACTTGGTTGCTCTTTGTCGTCTGGTGATCCGTCTTCAACCTGCCCCACCTTGTCGTCGTCGAGCATTCCGGCATACATCCAAGTACGAGGAGTACAGGAACCAGCACCGCCATGACCGGAGCTTGGGGTGTACTTGGTGTGGCCGAGCCGGATAACGTACAAGCCACTCAGTAGTTGCGTCGACAGCATCGTACTCTCCGACTCGCTCGTCTTCACGACGAACATCACGTGGGCCGCAGCGCACGAGCAAGAAAAGGTTGACTTCAACGTACGCGTGGCCCAACCGTACGACCCCGTGTGCATGTACACACTGGTCTCCGAGCCGCCAGTCGGTGCTTCAGTGTTCGCCACCGTCATGGAGTAGAACATGTACGTGCCACAGTGAGAGCACCGAGTAGAACGGCTCCCACAGCACCAGCTCAGCTGTAAAGCCTTCGACAAGATACAGACCATGGAATGTGTGAGGATTGTCAGAGGATTGCACAGGTCTTGACGCAGGCAGTTGGGTCACCGCTACTGGAGGATTCACCACTTGGGCGATGGGCAACTGGAAGAATTTGAGTGTGTCGGTTGAGTCGATTGTTGAAGTCTAGAGGTGACAAAACCACACGGACAACTAGCGTGTGTAAAGTGTGTGTGGCACGATGTGCAGTACTCACCCGGATGCAGAGATAGGCATGGCTACCGAGCTGGAAAAGTGGGGGACAGTGTACCGGCACACCGGTCCGGTAGTACCGAGCGAGGCACAGCTTCAGGGATGAGACTTCAGTTACAGGAGGCAACTTGCAGCGATTCGAGGCACTTGTTGCCTCCGAGGCCGATTCGTGAATGAAGCCGAACGATCAACGGCGGCTGAGAGCGAGTGGACGCCGACCACCCACTCAGCCACTGTGTTTTCCACGGTTTGCCATGCATCCCATCCGGGTTCGTGCACTGGGCTCTGCCTATCAGCAGCACATGCTCGCCGATCGCACTCACATTGGCAGGTTCCTCTCTTACTTTATATCTCTATATCTTTAAATTTGATGTTTTTTCAGTTTTGACAGAGTGTAACAAAAGAAATGTGGTTGTGATAGAAATATGAAGGCAGCCCAGCTCTATCGGCATAAGCAGATTTGGTCCGGTCTGCAATCCCCATCTCGTCTTGCATCCTGCGTCCGACTTCGCGCAGTATAAATCGGTGCTGGGTTCTTAGTCCAGCGAAACCCGGGTCTCAACGTAAGCTAAGCACAGTGTATGCCACACCCAAGTTGAAGCTCTCAATAGTGGCCCCTTCACGAGCAAAGGTGAAGCTACTACAAGCTGGATTCCGACGGCATTATAGTCACATCATTCCATCAACCGGATCAGTAACTGCGCTGCTGTTCGTACCCAGCTACTACAATACAGAGCACGCACTGCACAAATGTTCGGTCCAACTCGATGCTTTCACACTGTCAGAACTAGTAACCTACTTCCAGTGTTCCGATGCATGAGTGCCCGACGTCGGGCATGACAACGCGAAGCGCGCTGGAAAGTAACTCACAGCAAGCTTAGTAATTTATCACCCATGAACAGCTTTATTCTTCTATAGACGCTAAATCCTTACTTGCTGCAGCTTGATTCTCCACTAACACTCTGTTTGCAATCTGTACGATGCGCTCGAAGGCGACGTCGGAGTAGCGACGCCAGCAGACGTGGTCGCGCCACTGTCGTGTCGGGAGTTGCGGCGTCGTAAGCCCGTGAAACACCTTGGCCACCGCATAGCTCGTCCACGTGATCTCCTCTCTGTCCTCAGCATTACTTTCCTCCATCGGACTCCCACCAAGACGCAGCTGTATCAGCGAGCTCGTGTCTCGCTCAATTGCCTCGATCAGAGATGCGGTAAGAGGACGTAGCATCTTGTGTAGTAAACGTTCGTCTTCCTCTCCTTCGTCACTATCTTCGTCCTCGAAGTAGTGCACGAGTTTCGTCTCCAGAGCGAGGGCCTTTCTCTCAAGATCTTCTTCATTCTCGTCGTGCGGTCTGGACGGAGATGGCGCTGGCAGCGCAGCTGCGTGTAGTGCACTGTACAGCTGCGCAAGACGAGCGAGCTGCCGTGACTCGAGGTGTTCGTGCTTCGCGTACAGACTGGCGGTCCATCGTTCCGCAGCCTCGGTCTTCATCTCTTCGGTCTCGTCGACTCGCCAGCTCAGCTGCAGCTGGAACGCTGGCTGCGACAGCGTCAGGCGCTGGATCTGGCCAGTCTGTTGCGCAGCTCGCAGCTCCTGTAGCATCCGCCGTTCGTTGGTTGCTGCAGCCACCGCAGCAGCGTTCGTCTCTCCCTCCTGTTGCGCATCTGAAGTCGCCAAAGGCGTTACAGAGCCTTCTTTCTTGCCGCCAACACGCGCGTACCACTGCGCTGTCTCGTGCAAGTGAAAGTCGACAGTCCAGGAGCTCAAGTACCCGTCCTTGCGATGTGAAACATGACCATGAGGCAGCTCCTTGCGTCGCACAGCGTTCAGCAACATCTTCACACATGAGCGAGGCGCCAATTTCTTCGCCTGTGAGTCCAGTAGCTGCAGCGTGCATCGACTCATGCTCAGAGGCTGCAGCGTGACACGTAGGCCTCTCCTGTCTTCCTTGACAGCTCGTTCTCGCTGTGTCTCCAGTGCCAGCAGCGTCAGGAACGTCTCGATGGTAGCTGCCTTCAAGTCGAGATGACGTTCGAGCCAATCTCGAGCTAGCGACACCAGCGTCAGGTCCCCACCCACTCGTTGACTCGCGTACTTGACCGCCACAACATGCGTGTCATTCGTCTGCTCTTGAAAGACCAATGACAGCAATCGTCGGAGCTGATCTCGATGCAGAGCCGTCGAGAAGAGCAGCGAGCGGAAGTGAACCGCGTCTTCGTCCAGCAGATACAGCAGTGCGCGGGCCGCTTTCCCGTCTCGACCAGCTCGTCCGACTTGCTGCACATACGCCTCCACGGACGAGGGCATGTGGAAGTGCATCACTGCACGCACATTCTTCTTGTCGATGCGCATGCCGAACGCCACCGTGGCCACCACCACACGCACGCGTCCTCTCGCGAAGCCAGTGCGGACCTTCTCCTTGGCGTCAGACGCCATGCCGCCATGGAACGCCAGCACTTTGCCCGAACTCCGCCACGTAGACGGCAGCTGTTCTCGAAGTAGAGCTGCCAACTCCTCGGTTTGTCGTTGCTGGTGGACGTACACGATGACACCGCCACCGCCTTTGGAGCCTCTGCTGAGTTCGGGAAGAATGTGCACGAGATGACGCAGTCTCTCCTCGTTCGAGCGCACAGATCGAACCTCCAGCGCCAAGTTTCTGCGTTGCCACGGCATCTGGAGCACCATCTCGTCTTCGTTTTCAGGGCTTTCGACTTGATATTGACGACGTGAACGTAGTTGACGCAGAACATCATGTACGACGCGTCTGGAGGCAGTGGCAGTCACGCAGAGAACGCACTGAGCGTGGCGGAAGACCTCTGCTAGCCGCAGATAACTCGGTCGGAAATGATGAGACCACTCGGACACACAATGAGCCTCGTCGACGCAAACCAGAGCCAGACGCGCTCGAACTCGAGGCAGGGCCAGCAGTGCCTGCATTCCTGCGCCCAGAGCCTTCTCCGGCGACAGGAAGATGAGGGAGAGTTTGTCTGCCAGTAGATCACGCACAAAGGCCGCATGCTTCGCCTTGGAACTGGCGTCGGACGAGCCCGAGAGACACACAGCACGCGCCTTCAGAGCAGCAGGGAGACTCTCGTATTGGTCGTTCATCAGCGCGATCAACGGAGAGATGACGAGTGTAATACCAGGGAGGAAGAGTGCCGGGAACTGGTAGCACAGAGACTTACCGGCACCTGTCGGCAGCACCAGTAGCGTGTCTTTCCGACGTAGCACTCGCGAGATAGCCCACTGCTGACCAGAGCGGAACTCGGCGTGGCCGAACACCAGACGCAAGTTCGTGAGCATCGCTCGTCTCTGCTCTTCTTCGGAAGCCTCGATGTCTAAGGGCACGCACTCAATAGCTTCTGCTTCAGCTGCTGACTCACTGAACCGAGTCGAAGAAGACGCCGTGAAGAGAGTCTGTAGCGCCAGCGGGACGTGGTCGTCTTCCCAGAGGAAGAAATCGCAGCGACCTTCGTCGAAACTCAGCGGACAGGCAAAGAATCTGCGACCGTGGTTCTTGTTCTTCTTCTTGACTTTTAAGCTCTGACAGACCAGCGCATGATGACATCTCGGGGGTTCCAATCCCTGCTTAGGGGA